TGACTCAATGGCACCCAAAAACAACAACTCACTGTCTATGACAGTAGTGAACACACGAGACAAGTTCCCTGCACCCCTGGAGCTCAAGTTCCGGAAAAAGAGACAGACACTAAAAGAACAAGTAAGTACATTACACAGTGGATCACAAGAGAATAAGAATGTGGGGAAAAACAAAGCAAAGAGGGGGACAGAGGCCTCAGGGACTATGATTTTCAGTAAAGGACCAGGGAAGACCTCACAGAGAAGGTGGTGTTTGAGCAAAGACTTGCAGGAGGTGAGAGAGACCAGAGCCTCCCCACAAGGTGCTGCCACTTGAGGGGCGGGGGCATCTGGGTAAACAGGATCCCAAACCACTGTGGGGAAGGTCCATAAAGGCAAACTCAGGCGGCTCTCAGGAACCCCAAGCCTGAGGGACAGTGGGCTTCCTGGAGGAGGAGACAGTAGAAAATCAATACACCTTGATAAGGGAGGAATAAGGAGCAGGGGATGGGCGTGGAGCAGGGAAGGGAGCCCAGGTAGAAGACACAGCTGGGCAAAGGTTCAAGGCAAAAAACAGCCTGCAACCAAAATGTCCATCAACAGATGAATGGATAAGCAAAACGTGGTTTACGCACACAGCGGAATACTACTCATCCGTAAAGAGAAATGAAGTCCTGATACACGCCACATGGACGAACCTTGAAAACATCACGCTGAGTGAAATAAATTAGTCGCAAAAGGACAAATACTGTATGATTTCACTTATACAAAATAAGCAAATATATAGAAACCAAAGATTATTATAAAGGAGCCCTGGTGGTACAATGGTTAAGCACTCGGCTGCTAGCCAAAAGACTGGTGGTTTGAACCCACCAGCCGTGGAGAAAAGACCTGGCAATCAGCTCCTGTAAAGATTACAGCCTAGGAAATCCTATGGGGCAGTTCTACTCTGTCCTATATGGTTGCTGTGAGTCGAAATCAACGCGACAGCACACAACAACAACAACAAAGATTATTAACGGTTCCCAGGGGTGGGAGGAAACGAGAAAAGGGGAGTTTTTTGGGGGGGGAGGGGCATTGAGTTTCTGTCAATATTGGTAGAATATTTTGGAAAAGGATAGAAAGAGTGTTGGCACAACATGAAAAATGTAATCCATGTCACTGAATTGTAAATGTGGAAGCTGTAGTGCTGGCACATGTTTTGGAGTATATATTTTCACCAAAATAATAATAAACAGCCTGGTCTGTCAGGAAAGGAAGACAGGTTGGTGTTCCGGAAGCATAGAGGGTGAGGGAGGGATAGAGAGGACTGACTGCGAGGGGGCAGTGGCCAGACCACAAAGGGTCTCAAACGCCAGGCTGAGGGGTTGGGACTTTGTCCTGAGGGTACTAGGGAGCCATGGCAAGGCTGTGAAAAGGGGAGGGGTAGGGTCAGCTCTGGGCATAGAAGACCCCTTGAGGCTCGTAGGAATGGACTGGACATGCGAGACTGGAGGCCAAAGAGGAGGCTGAGGTGAGGGTCCAGGTGGGAGAGGAGGAGGCCTGAGCTGCTGGGGCTGTGAGGAAGAAGAGAGACCGAGGAAGGGCTGAAAGACGGAGAGGTCAGGAGGGATGGGACAGAGGAGTGAGAAGGAGTCTTGTGAATGTACCCGGGATCTGGCCCAGTGATTACTAGTGGCAGTGCTTGAATCATTTATTTGTTCAGAAAAGGCCATCCACAGGTACATCCAGGGTGAGACACAGGATGCAACGGCAGGAGCCCGGGGGCACTGGAGAGGGGCAGGCAGCACCAACACTTGGCAAAGGGCAGGAGCAGATCCAGTGCTGCCTTCACACTTCCTCTTTGCTCTTTCCTTGAACACACAGGAGGCACCCATGTGCCAGGCCCTGTCCTGGGCAATGCTGGGACCCAGAGTGGAGTCAAACCCAGCCTGCCCTCAGTCTCATCGAGGAGACAGATACGACCACGGACATCTCAGCCCAAGGAGACTACAGCTTCCATATGGGCAGAGGGAGGCACAGCGGGCTGTGGGGGCCCAAAGGCGGGACACTGAGGAAGAAAGATGTAGGAGGAAACCAGGAGAGTCGGGTCCCAGGAGCCCAAGAGCAATGTGTCTCAAAAAGGCCGGAGGCAGCAATCCTGTCAAATGCTGCCAGAAGTGTCATTAGGCCAAGTGGCAGCAGAGTGCAGATGTGAAGAGCATAGGCCCTAGAGCCAGACTTGCCTGGATTTAACTCCTGATTCTGCCACGTATTAGCCCAGTGATTTGGCAAGTAACAGAGTCTCCCGGGCCTCAGTTCTCTCACCTGTATAATGGGATTAACAATATCCAGAGGGAGCCCCTGGGTGGTGCAAATGGTTAATGCACTTGGCTAATGGAAAGGGTGGAGGTTACAGTCCAACCAGCGGTACCTCAGAAGAAAGGCCTGCCAATCTACTTCAGAAAAAATTGGCCACTGAAAACCCTACGAAGCACAGATCCACTCTGACACACATGGGGTCTTCATGAGTCAAAGTCAACTTGACAGCAATTTGTTTGTTATATTGAGAGGTTAATCTCCATAGAAGACTGAGAACATTGCCTGGCACACAGTACCGAAACTAAACTTGTTGCCGTCAAGTCAATTTCTACTCATGATGACCCCATGTGTTACAGAGCAGAACTGCTCCATAAGGTTAAGGGTAGAATCTTTACAGAAGCAGATCACCGGGCCTTTCTTCTGCAGCACTGCTGGGTGAGTTTGAAGTGCCAACCTTTAGGCTAATAGCTGACTGCAAACCATCTGTGACACCCAGATACCTAGTAAGGACCCTCTAAATGTTAGCTTTCTGATCACTGAGGTTTTCAGGCCTACATCTGTCTCCTGTGCCCTCCTCCCCAGCCCACTCCTCACACGAGCAGGGTCAATATCAGAACCAACTTTGTGGCCACAGTCGTATATATTCTGAGGCCTCTGAGATGCAGGCCCTGTGTGATGCTGGGAGCATGGAAGTGAATTCCCAGTTTGATGGGGTAGACAGACATGGACAAACAGTCACCACCTTCAGCCTGGTTTAGATCAAGTATTGAGAGAAACTAGCATGAGGAACTGTGTCTGATTCACCTCTGTCCAGACATGCTGCCCTCTGGGGACAAGCCTAGGTCTTCAGCGATGCTGCCCCCATCCTTTCCATGGAGAAATTAAAAGGCCATTGGTGGTTCAGTGGTAGAATTCTCATTTTCCATGCAGGAGATCCAGGTTCGATTCCCAGCCAATGCACCTCAAGCACAGCCACCACCCATCTGTCAGTGAAGCTTATATGTTGCTACGATGCTCAATAGGTTTCAGTGGAGTTTCCAGAGTAAGACAGAGTGGGAAGAGAGACCTGGTGATCTACTTCCAAAAATCGGCCAACGAAAAGCTTATGGATCACAACAGTCCAATCTCATCGTGCATGGGGTCTTCATGAGTCGGGGGTTGACTCAATAACAGCTAACAACCACCAGCTCAGTCAGGTTGGCTGCAACTTCCTTAAATTGAACTGAATTTTCAAGTCTAACACTTTTTTTCCCTCTGTTCCTAGCTCAAGCCCTCTCACTCACCCTGTGGCTACGTAGGGTAAAGATACCCTCTGGGTTCTCACAGTGCCCTGTATGACCTCTTTAAGAGAGCTCTTTGGGGGACCGAAATAGTCAATTTAGTAGGGAATGCAGCCTCGTGGGTTAAAGCTCGGCTTGAGCACAAAGCACGAGTTGCGGCGAGGAGTCAGAGTGACCTGGACTGGAATCTGGCCTCTACTCATCCCTAGCTGAGTGACCTCCCTGTGCCTCAGTTTCTCCGTGTTAAACATGGGCGATGACTCCCCACCAGATAATACAGAAGGTAACTCCCCCTGCACAGTTATCAACAGTGCGAGAACTGGGGAAACAAGTGGGAGGGTGGGGGACGGGGTCATGACCCCAGAGAGTCCCGGGTCTGCATGAATAGGGATCGGATGTCAGAACCTCACAGTCCTTGACCTTCGCCCCCAGGTGTGACTCTGACGTGTGGGAGAAGAGCGGCAGAGGTCAGAGGTTACGAGAAGACCCCGAGAGAGGGTGCACTCGCGACCCCGAAAGCACACGGCCGCGGGGCTCAGGAAGGTGGGAGAAGGGGGCCCGGTCACCTTCACGGCGAAGTCGATGACCCTCTTGACACCCACGAGCGCACGCAGCTCCGCCATCTTCCTGCTGTCACTGCCGGGAACCGGAACACTCCGCAACCTCAGTCGGTACTGACACCCCGACCCCGTCCCATTCTACGCCTGCGCACCGCGCCGTCAGCCAATCAACTGCCTTGGGGCCTGTCACCCCGCCCCAACAGGGACCAATCAGGAGGCTGGAGGGGGAGGGAGACGCGGAAAGTGGATGCGGACCAATAGGACGCGGATCCCGGGGAGAGAAGCGGGACCCAGAGGAGGAACCCGAAGAGCTTTTTGTAGGGGGCGTGGCCGGGAACTAGGGGAAAGGTCGTGTCTGGGGATGCAGCGCGTGGGGACTGGAAATTCTCTCCGTCTTCCTAGACTCTTCCCAATGTTCCTGGATCCCCCCTCACCACCACCCCTCTCAGTTTCCTTCCTTCTTTCTTGCTCCCCACGTCGCCATATCCGTGTTCCCACGCCATCCCGTGTCCGTATCTCCAGGCTTCTATGTCCCCCGTGCCTGTATCTCCCCATTCCCTCCGTGCTCATGCGTCTATATCCCCTCATATCCGCGTCCTCCTAACGTCCGTGTCCCCACACCCTCCCCATACGCCCACGTACCCTTATGACCCCACATGTCCCCTTTCCCCTCCAAATCCATGTCCCTTGTCCACTGTGTTCCTGCCTCCGCGTCCGTATTCTCCCATGTCTCCACGTTCCCTCTACGTTCATGTTCTCACGTCCTTCCCGCATCCCCCACGTTCATGTCCTCAGTGTCCATGACCCCACGCCCCCAGAAAGGCGCGCGGAGCCGCGGAGGTGGAAACTGTTCCTTTATTCTGCGCCAGGCAGGCCACGGTCACAGGCACACGGGGAATCCACTGATGGCGTCGGTGCTCTGAACGATCATGTCTGCCAGCAGAAAGCAGAAGCCTGGTGGGAGTGGAGCAGAGGGAGGTGGGCCTAGAGGCCTGGGGTTTTGGGGCTCTGAGGGCATCTCTGCCGGGCCTCGGGGAGTCGGGGATGGAGTATCTTGGGGTCGGGCTCGGGTCCCAGGGAAGTCGCTGTGGGGTTTCCTGGGAGGACGGCAGGGGAGTCTCTGGGTGGGTGGGTGAGGGGTCCTCTGGGCAGTCTCCTCTACCCCGCTGTCCCGGTTACCCGCGAGAATAGAAAAGGGTAAAGCCAGCCACCCCGAAAAATAGGACCAGGAGAAGAAGACGTCTGACTTCCACACATCCTTCACCGTGTAGCCTGTCATTGCGATCAGCAGCAGCAGCCCTGGCCACCGCACACCAGGCGGGTGAGTGTGGCCAGGTGAGGCTGCACTCAAGCAACGCCCCAGACCTCGCGCTCGGTTCCAGTCTCCGCCCCCTTCTGACCCGCCTCTCCCCCTGGCCTTCAGGCCAAACCTTCTCCTCCCTGCCAAGACCCTAGCCCTGCCCACCGTCCCAAGCCCCGCCCCCAACCTTCGTTCACGTCTCCGCCAAGCCACGCTCCTGGCCCTGCCCCTTTCCAGCTCCTCCCCTCTTAGGTCATCTCGGGTCCCGCCCCCTCCTCTCGCCTTCAGCCCCTCCCATCGGCTCCCGACCCAGCTCCTGAAACCCCGCCCCCTCGACCGTGTGCCCTCTTTCCCCAGGCCCACCCTGGGCTGCAGTCTCACCGCTGAGGAAGCAGATGGCGCTCGTCGTGCGTCCCCGCAGCGAGTCGCCCTGGTGGCACAAAATGCGCAGCCCCATTGCCATGCTCACGATGCCGGAGCCAACGGCCAGCACGATGCACGCCGCCGTCATCGCCAGCATGGCTGGGAAGAGGGGGCCGCATCAGCCCTGCGAGGGCGCCGCCCCTGTCGCGACAGCCACCCCTCCGCCCCCCCAACTCCCCACCAGCAAGTCCTGGGCTGGGAGCCCCGCTCTCCCAACCCGGAGTCAGGCGTCTGGATGGAGACCTGGAGTTTATCTCATGACGGGCGGTTAATGTCGCGACAGGTGGTTAATGTCGTGATAGGGAAACAAGTCCAGCAGTTGCGGACGGCGGTGGTTCGTGGTGGCGTCGATTATGGAGGGGCAGCTGGGTCTGAGGTTGGGTGGGAAGGGGTAGTGGTAGTGGGGTTCCTCATGATGTGTCCAGCTGTTGTGCCCAGAGGGGTGCGTCACGAGAGGACGCCCGCAGTGGTCGGCGTTGGGGACTGTCTAGGGGTGGGGGAGGGTCGGACGCCTGTTCTGACGCCTGCGTGGGCGGGGCCTCACTCTGGCAAGGGATGGTGGAGCAGACGCCGCTGTTACACTCCTTCCATAAGCCGCTGTGGCCGTCGGGGTAGCGGGTCCAGTAGTTGGTGACAGTGGAGAGCACCATGAGGATGTTGGCTAAGAAGCTGAGCACGGTACCTCCGCTCTGAAGACTCCGCTTCACCCCCATGCCAGGGAGACTGCTGCCAGTGGGCCACACATGTCGCATTGGCCAATACCCCTCCTGCCTCAGGCCCTGGTTTCAGGACCTCCTCCCTCCCCAGCCCCCTCCCCCAGCTCCTTCCTTCCCCCTGACACACCTTTCATCCCCCCAGACTCCTCCCCCAGCACCCCTGCTTGAGGCCTCTATTTCTAGGGACCCGGAGACTCCCTGCCTCAAGCATTTTTGTCCCCCTAACGCTCCCAGCCTGGAACCTGGGGTGGATTACCCAATAAACAAGGTAAGCACGGGCTTACTTGTGTTTATTTACTAATCTGTAGTGAACAATTTCACATGTTTTTCAAAGATGTTGTTAAACCCATGTGAAATTGTTCACTACAGATTAGTAAATAAGCACAGGTAAGCCTGTGTCTACCTTGCTTACTGGATAATCTGTCCCTGTCAGGGATTGTAAATTTGAAAAAACTTCGATTCTGTAGGAACGTGCTGTGGGGTTGGGAGAGACAGATACCAGCCATACCTAGAAGCAGAATCTTTGATGTGGTGGAAAAATGTGAAATTGTTCACTACAGATGATTTGGTAAGCAAGGTAAGCACTGTGCTTACCTTGCCTATTGAATAATCCGCCCCTACCTGAATCCTTATTCCCAGGGACACTGGAGCCCCTCCCTCAGGTCCTCTCAGGTGCCAGACCCCTCCTGCAACCCTGCCTGGGGACCAGAGACCCATCCCCGCAACAAGACTCCCTTCCCTTAGGCTTCCAGCTTAGGAACCTACTTAGTCCCTTAGACCTCCCCCAGTGGGATCCCCCTTCAGCCCCTCCAGTGCCCCACCCCCCCATGCACACACCCACCCACCTAAGTGACTCACACTCAGCTCCCCAGGGTTTCTTAGACACTGAGCCCAGAGGGGTGGGGGAGGGAGTCTGGGTCTCTGTGAGGCAGCAGGAGTTCCAGAACCTTCTTCCCCAGTGTCCATTTAAAGAGATAAACCTTCCTTCCCTCTCTCCTAGCAGCCTGAGAGGAATGCCATGGTAGATCATTTCCTTCTTCTAGAAACTTCTCTTCCTTTGACTTCGGAGGCACCACACAAACTCTCCTGGTCTATGCCCTCAAAGTTCCTTCATACATGCTCCTCCTTCTCCCCTCCACTTTTAAATGCTGTTGTTCCTTGAGGCTCCATCCTGCACCTTCTTACCAGGTGAGCTTACTCACTCCTACAGTTTCAGGAACCATTTATGTTCTGACAGCAACTAAAACTCCATCTCCAGCCTTTGGTCCTGTCTACCTGGATTACTGGAGTCTCTGGGTGGTGCAATGGTTAATGTGCTGGGTAACTGAAAAGTTGGAGGTTAAAGTCCACCCAGAGGTGCCTCAGAAGAAAGACTTAGAGATCCCTCTCCTGAGCCCAGACTCAGCCTCACCTGCTCCTGGCTGTCTCAGACCCCTCAAACTCAACCATATCCCAACTGAGCTCAGCATCTTCTACCAAACTAGGGATGGCCCCACCCTCCCACCCAGTTACTTGGGCTAGACCCACTATTCTTACCCTCTCCCTGCCCTTCACTCCACAGAGCTCTTGGGTTCTCAAGATCTGTTCCTCTTGTCCCTGCATCTGTCTGGTTCATTCCCTACTTTCCATCTCATGCCCTGGTCCCAAGTTGGGCCTGCTTCTATTCCACACATTATATTGCTGTCATGGATTGAATTGTGTCCCCCAAAAATATATGTCAACTTGGTTAGGCCGTGATTTCCAGTATTGTGTGGTTGTCCTCAATTTTGTGATTGTAGTTTTATGTTAAAGAGGATTAGGATGGGATTGTTAACACCCTAACTAAGGTCACAGCCTTGATCAAATGTAAAGGGAGTTTCCCTGGGGTATGGCCTGCACCACCTTTTATCTTACAAGAGATAAAAGGAAAGGGAATGAGCAGACAGTGGGAACCTCATACCACCAAGAAAGCAGTGCCAGGAGCAGAGCGCATCCTTTGGACCTGGGGTTCCTGCACGGAGAAGCTCCTAGTTCAGGGGAAGATTGATGACAAGGATCTTCCTCCAGAGCTGACAGAGAAAGCCTTCCCCTGGAGGTAACGCCCTGAATTTGGACTTCTAGCCTGCTAGACTGTGAGAAAATAAATATCTCTTGTTAAAGCCATCCACTTGTGGTATTTCTGTTATAGTAGCACTAGATGACTAAGATAATTGCCAAGGTCTCCCTAACCTTCCGGCCTCCCCCGCATGCCCCCAGAGGGATCTTTCTGATACCCAAAGGTGACACTGTCCCTCCTCTGCTGACAATCTTCTCCTGGCTCCCCATCACCTCAGAGGAAACTCAAGTGTGGCATTGGAGACCCTTGCCCCCATTTGCCTCTCCATTCTCATTTTGTACCACCCCACATTCTACATTCCAGCCACAAAGCACCATTCTCTAAAAACTGGCCTTTGGGCCCATCTACCTGGATCACCATAGTCCCTGGGTGGTGCAATGATTATTCTCAGCTGCTAACTTAAAGGTTGGAGGTTCAAGTCCACCCAGAGGCACCTCGGAAGAAAGGCCTGGAAATCTATTTTAGAAAAATCAGCCATTGAAGCCCCTATGGGGCACAGTTCTACTCTGACACATATGGGGTTGCCATGAGTTGGAATCGACTTGATGGCAAACAACAACAAGACCTGGATTATCTTTCCTTGGCCCTCAAGAAGCTCCTAAATTATCCTTCCCCAGAAAGCTTTGTGGGATACCACCTCCATCATCCCTGTTACATAAACTGTGCCATGCCCTTCTTGGGGTCTGACTGCTGTCTGGCCTGTGTTTGTTGCTTTTCTGTCTGTAACTGCCTCCCCTACTAACTGCAGCCCCTGGAGGGCAGGGCCTGGGCCTGACCCATGTCTGCATCCCCAGCATGGCCCAGCAGAGAGGGGACATTCAGGAAATGCCAGCTGAGGAATGAATAAATGAATGCACAAAGAGAATGAGATTGAAAGCACACAAGAACAGAGAGAAGGAGAGGGAACTAGAGACAAGGAGAGAAGAAAGCAGGACAAACAGAAGAAGGACAAAAACAAGGAGAAGGAAAAGAGAGTAGGAGAGAAGGACATTGAGCCATGCTTGTGTCCATACTGGTCCCCTTGTGGGCAGGGTGGACTCTGACTCCTCTAGATGCCCAGTCACTCACCATGGAGCTGGTCCACGGTTGGCTTATGTCTTGGCTGAATGAGTCTCGGAATAATCAAATCCCAGCAAATTTTTGTTGAATGAATGAAGGAACATATCCCAGTAATTTTTTGGTCAATGAATGAAGGAACAAATGAAGGGGTGGGGAGGGACTAGAGAGGTGTGAGGGACGGAGGGTCAGGTACGCCCGTGGCTCCTTATGATGCCTTCTGGAAAACAGTGCCCCAAAGCGTATCCTGCTGTTCTTGCCTTTCTGCTCACACAGCTTCATAGCCAGGCCGGCGAGCACCACAGTAGGCATCCATAGTCAGGGCACCTGGGGTGGTCAGAGAGAGAGGTTAGCACTTGCCCCTGCCTTGCTCCTTCAGAGCCTCCAGCTAGACCCCTCCAAGCTCCCAATCAGTGGGTGGGTAGGGGCGGAGGGTCACAGTCACCTGTACAGAGCAAGAGGAGAACTGAGACCCAGCCCACATAGAAGGACCAGCCGAAGAAGACTTGGATCTGCGATCCTGGAACCTGGACCCAGCGTTCACTGGTGTACACCGCCATGGCCACTATCATGAAGAGGGCTGGGGACAAAGACAAGAGAGACAGCTCAGCAGGAGCTCACCAGCCCCACCAATCCTCAAGCCCAGCCCAGCCCAACATCCTTACCTGCAGTTAAGGCTGTGATGGCGGCAAAGAGGGGGCTGCGGCCTGGGGCAGACAGCAAGGGGAAGAAGGACAGGGCCAGGATGACCACGGACACCAGGATACACAAGGTGGCCAGGATGCTGAAGCTCTGTGTCACACGGATGTAGACTGCTGGGAGAGGGGACCTCTGAGTTTCTGTCCCCAACTGGCCATTCCCCCGCAAGAGAGCCTGTCAAGGATTGAATTATGTCCCCCAAAAATGTGTGTATCCATTTGGTTGGGCCATGATTCCCAATACTGTGTGGTTGTCCTCTACCTTGTGATTGTAATTTTATGTTAAAGAGGATTAGGGTGGGATTGTAACACCCTTACTAAGGTCACATCCCTGATCAAATGTAAAGGGAGTTTCCCTGGGTTGTGGACTGCACCACCTTTTATCTTATAAGAGATAAAAGGAAAGGGAAGCAAGCAGAGAGTTGGGGGGGCTCATACCACCAAGAAAGCAGTGCCAGGAGCAGAGCACGTCCTTTGGACCTGGGATTCCTGCACAGAGAAGCTCCTAGTCCAGGGGAAGATTGCTAAGAAGGTCAACAGAGAGACAAAGACTTCCCCTGGAGCTGACGCCCTGAATTTGCACTTTTAGCCTACTTTACTGTGAGGAAATAAATTTCTCTTTGTTAAAGCCATCCACTTGTGGTACTTCTGTTATAGCAGCACTAGATGACTAAGACAGAGCCTGTTATGGGTTGACTTGTGTCTCTCCAGAAGATATGTCAAAGTCTTTGTCCCTGGTACCTGTAAAAGTGACCTTGTTTGGAAATAGGTTCTTTCTTTGAAGATCTTATCAGCTAAGTTAACAAGGTCATATGGAGTCCCTGTGCGGCACAAATGGTTAAGTGCTCCACTACTAACCGAAAGGTTGGTGGTTAGAACCCACCCAGAGGCACCTTGGAAGCTGGCAATCTGCTTCCTAAAGATCACAGACATTGAAAACCCTATAGAGCACAGTTCTGCTCTGCAACACATGGGGTCACCATGAGTTGGAATTGACCGGAAGGCAACTAGGGGCAGACAGGCACCATGTGAAAATATATCTACAAACCAAGGAATACCTGGGGCTACCAGAAGCTGGGAGAGACAAGCAAGGCTCTTCCCCTAGAGCCTTCAGAGGGAGCATGGTCCTGCCGATGCCCTAAATTCCGATTGCTAACCTCCAGACCTGTGAGACAACACATTTCTGTTCTTCAAAGCCACCCACTTTGAAGTATTTTGTTATAGCAGCTCTAGCGGACTAAGACAGGGCCCACTCCCACTTACCTGCCACTGAGCCTTCGCTTGGCCAGAGGCCCGTGTGAGCTGACATGCTGGGTCCCATGGCCACGATCCAGAAATTCGTGCTCAGAGCAACCACCATGGAAACCAGGCCCAGGGAGCCAGTGAGCAGGGCCAGGGACCGACAGGGTTCCATGGTGGTGAATCCCGGGTTTCTGGGTCCTGGGGGATGAAGAGACTAGCAATCCAGACTCCCGGGTCTCTGAGAGAGGAGGAGGTCGTGCACCTGGACTTCTGGGTCCTCTAAGCTAAAAAAAAAAAAAAAAAACTAACAAACAATAAGGGCAGCTGGGAGTCCTGGGCTCCAAAAAGGAGGCTGACTTGGTTTCACATATCTCCAGCTCTTCGGTAGGGGAGAGCACTTAGGGTGTTGAAAGATGAGTGGTTTAGGTGGTGGTTTAGAACTTGTCTCTCTCAGGTTCTATACTCACCCACCCATCCCTTGGAGCCCTCAACACCAGAGGGGACTTCCGGGAAGAGATAACAGAGGTTTGGGGGCTTAGAGGTGGCAAATGAGGCCAGGATGTGAGTGAAGTGGGAGGCGGATGTGGCCAGAGGGGACAGTTGGGGCTGCATCATGCTTTCCTGTGTGTTCTGCAACCTTCTACTCTGGGAAAGGGGGGCCCCTACTCTAGGGTCTCCACAAAAGGAGGAAACCAGGGGCCAGGACTCATGAGTCTGAGGGAAGAGGGGGAGGGAAGCTCAGAGTCCTGGTTCCCTGGTTTGGGCTTAAGCCCAGGGTGGGCAAATGATAGAGAATCACATTTCTGAAAGGTTCATGGAGGTGAAGACACACTCACATCCTCATCTGATAAGTGAATCCGGAGGCAGCTCTGCTTGTAGTGTGGCCTCCAGCATGGTGGGCGCTATCACCAGGGTCAGGGTACCAGGCCCTCTAAGTACTAGCCTCCCCCTCCCACATTGGCATCGGGTTCTGGTCAACTCCTCACCTTTGAGCCAGTATGAAGTAAAGGTGCCACAGCCTAGGTACACGACTCAGGTAAACTTGACCTCTATGAAGTGGGGAATGGCACGGGAGAAGACCTCTGCCATGAAGATGATCTGGGTCAGCAGTCCCAAGACAGCTGGCAAGGAGAAGAACCAGGATCGACCCAAGAGACCCAGTCCCCTCGTTTATTAGAGACTCCAGTTTGAAGGCCCCATCCCTCACCCAGGTGCTCACCAGTGAGGTAACTGTCCACTCCTGAAACATGTGAGAACGGCCTCTCAGAAGTGGATGGAGGTCATGAGCAGTAGAGGCACCAGTGCCATAACAGCCATGGCTCCCACGAGGAGCTTCCAGACAGGCTTCAGGAAGTCTGGGCCATGAGTACGTGGTGGGAGGAGATTCAGAGCACAGACCCCATCCTTAACCCCAGCTCCCACTTCAAACACAACCCTATCCTCATCCCAAAACTTAACCCCTATCCTCATTCCCATCCCCACTACCATCCACATTTCCAACCCCAACTCCAGCCCCAGTCCCACACCCAATTCCTTCTTCACGCTTCCCAGTTCCTAGAACTCCTACCTCAACATGACCCCCTCCATTTTCACCTTCATTCCACTTCCAGGTCCAGGCCTAATTGTGTTTCTAATCTCCTCGAGTCCCACTACCACCACACACATGCACACATGTACACGCGTTACCTGTACCTGACTCCAGCAGGACTCTGTACGCGTAGGCATCACAGGCTGGCCATAGGCCCAGGTTCTTGATGCCCCTTGGCACACATACCTCGAGTCTGGACAGATGAAAGACACCAAGAAGAGCCCAAAGCAGAAGAGCTGAACATGGCCTTGAAGGTAGAGTTAAACCTGCAGTATCTCCAACCACTTTCTAGATGAGATTTGCCTTGTGATTGCAGAGGGAAACTCCAGGTTTCCTTCTGAAGCTTTTCTCGGTATCCCATTCTGTCTCAATAGTTGGTTTACCTAGATCTCTATCAGTCTTGTCCAAGCACTATCAGCTTTTTTGAACCACCTCAAATCTCTTTCAGTTTTCTCCAGCCCTCCCCAGCCTCTTCCGTTCTTAGGAACTTCTCAGCAATCCCCAACTGCCACAGAACACCTCTGGCATCATCACCCAAGGGAACTCCTGCCCTGTGCACCTGTTACCTTCGCTGATTTTAATGTGGTCTTTCACTGTAATAAACCATAACCAGGAGCATAACAGCTTTTCTGAGCTCTGTGAGTCTTTTCAGCAAATCAGTGAACATGAGGGTGGTCTTGGGGACCCCTGAACTGCCGTGAGTGAGGAGAGATGAAATTGGAGAAGAAATGGGGGCCAGAACACATAACATCTTGCAGGCCGTTGATGGACTTTAGCTTTTCCTCTGAGACGGGCACCGCTGGAGGGCTTAGAGCATAGGCGTGACATGTATTGAACTGTGTTTTGACAAGACTTCATCTGGCTGCTGTGTAGAGTATAGACTGGAGGGTAGGGGTGTTATAACAGAAATACCACAAGTGGGTAGCTCTAAAGGACAGAAATTTATTTTCTCACAGTTCAGGAGGTTATAGGTCCTGATTCAGAGTGTGGCTCTAGGAGAGGTCCTTTATTGTCTACTTCAGTTTGTAGTAACCAGCAATCCTCGGAGTTCCGGGGCTTGTAGCTACATCTCCTTCCATTGTCTTGTGATAGTGGCTGTCTTCCTCCTGTGTCTGCTTGTTTGACTCTGTGTCTATGCTACTCTTATATTACTTAGAAGTGATTAGATTTAGGACACATTTTACACCAATATGGCCTCATTAACTTAACAAAGAAAATCCTATTTCCCAATAGGATTACATCCACAGGTATAGGAGTCAGACTCCAACACATTTTTTTTTTTTCGTGGAACACAATTCAATCCATGTTGTTGTTGTTGCTAAGTGCCGTTGAGTCGCTTTTCAATTCATGGCGACACCACGTAACAGAGTAGAACTGCCCCATAGGGTTTTCGAGGCTGTAATCTTTATGGAAGCAGATTGCCAGGTCTTTCTCCTGTGGAGACGCTGGGTGGGTTTGAATCGTCAGCCTTTCAGTTAGCAGCTGAAATGGCCACACAGAACTCACAGACAATACTCACGATTATGAGGTTTATTAGGGAAGTAACAGGTTACAATTCAGGTTCAGGAATGCTCACGATACAGTTCTCCCATCAGAACAGCCTCTTCTCAACTGTGCCAGCAGGCAGGCTTCTCTCTAGCCCTTCTTCTCTGCTCTGCTCAGGCAAGTGTTACAAAGCTCTTTTACCTCTGCTGGTAAGTGCCCCAAGGCACCCCGCTCCTCCAGCCAGGAAGCCTCAACCAGAAGGCACTCAGCTGTAGCCCCAGGGGTCCCAGAAAGCTGAATGCCTTTGGGCAAGAGACTTGCTGGAGGAGTAGGGTGCCTCGAGGCACTTGGTGGAGCTAGATTTGCGAATGTACGGAGCTAGAGCTGAGGATGATCCCAAAGTTTTTGGCGTGAGCAGCTGGAAAAACAACGGCATCATCATTTGTAGGCAGTCCACAGGTTATAAATGTCTGACTTACGAACAACTCGTACTTAAGAAAGGACTGCCATAAAGCCTATTATGTTAAAAATTTGAGTTAAATACAATGGTTTGTAATAATGAACGCAGGCACTACTTTGTGACGGTCATGAAAACATTGCATTGCGTGGTTTGGCAGTGTTTCTTAAGTGCTTCATAAGCATAGAAAGGTAAAATACGTACTGAGATGGGGGGATCGTGGGAAGAGCGGATGTGGAGAGTGAGCAAGAGCAGGAGTCTGATTTTAGAAATGGGAAATTTGAGATGCCCATTCTTCTCAAGTGGAAATGTTGAGTAGGCAGTTGGATATCTGAGTCTGCAGCTATAATTATAACAACAATCATTATTATTGCTAGAGTAAGCCCCTATAAATATGATGACTGGAACAAGCCTCTAAGTATTTCTATTTTGAAAAAAAAAAAAGGTTGCTGTCAAGTCAACTCCGATTTATAGCAACCCTATAGGACAGAGTAGAACTGCCCCATAGGGTTTCCAAGGAGGGGCTGTTGGATTCAAACTGCCGACCTTTTGGTTAGCAGCCAAGCTCTTAACCACTGCACTACCAGCTCACTAATTTATTATTAGGGAAGGCCTCAATGGCCACTATTATTAGAGTAAGCTGCTATAAATATAATATTATTATTTGAAGAGGCCCCCCAAAATATTATTTCTCGGTAGTAAGCCCCTATAAGGAGCCCTGGTGGTGCAGTGGTTAAGAGCTTGGCTGATAACCAAAAAGTTGGCAGTTCAAATCCACCAGCTGCTTCTTGGAAACCCTATGGGGCAGTTCTACTCTGCCCTATAGGGTTGCTAGGAGTCGCAATCGACCTGACAGCAATGAGTTTTTGGTATACATCAGTTTCTCAGAAGTTTTGCCAGTCTTTAACACCCGGGCGGGGACTGTGTGATTTATATCCGTCCCCATCTCTACAGGAACTGAGAAGGTTGAGCCGCCATAATAAGTATCTCACCTCAAACCACCCACCACACTCACACCTGTTTCTCTTCTCGCAGTCCTTCAGAGATTCACACTTTAGTAGTTTCACATCAATTTTATTAGACCCCCCAAAATTGCTCTGTTGGATATTCCATTTTTCTGGAGGGTGGGGCTTGAGTCTTCTTAACTCCCTCCTACAAGGCCTCATTCTTCCTTCTCCCACCTTAGGACCCAGGAGTCAGAAGCCCCAACCCAGAGAACAGGACCAAGCCCCATCATCCCCCCAGGAACCAGGAACCAGGAATCCAGGCCTCTTGACCCTCCCCTTCCTCTTCAGTGGCCTCCTCTTAACTTGCAGAGTAAGTTGGGGGATACATTTGGGCTCAGCGGGGAGTGGACAGGCGCTGGCATTCGTGCATCCGGTAGGCACACATATAGAAAATCCCTGTGTGAGAAGAGATCCCAATTGACCCCTCGACTCCTGCTTCCACCCTAAGTGGGAGCAGGAGACTCTGATGCCACCACCCGCTTCTCTCCCTTGGCGCCCAAAGTCCCCACAGACTCCTCTGGCCTGGAGTCTGCCTTTGGGCTCAGTTCTTTGTGGGAGGCCCTATCATCCTGCCCCCTGAAGTGTTTCCCAGACACTTACCTTCCCACTCCCGCCAGCCCCAGTACCTGCGAAGAAGGTCATGAGTAGGGCCACCCAGCTCAGGATGTAAGACCAGGAAAAGCGCCAGTCTCCAAAACGGCGGCCAAGGAAGCTGACGGTGACTCCAGTGTAAATGGCCAAGGCCAAGAGGATAAAAAGGGCTGGGGAGAGAGAGGAGGAAGTGTGGATGGAAATAGGGATGGGGTGGGGTTGGAAGTGGTAGAGAGTTGGAAATGGGAACAGGAATGGGATAAGGTTTGGGGAGGGGGCTAGGGGCAGGGTTAGAGGTAAGAATGGGAGTGGAGTTGAAAGTGGAAGTAATGAGTAGAGAGTAGGGTTGCGGTGGGGATGAGGTAGGGGTGGAGTTAGAAATGAGCATGGAGTTGGAGGTAGGTTGGGATTGTAGTGGGGGTAGAGCTGGGAGTGAGGATGAGGAGGGGTTGAGAGAAGGGTTGAGTGTGGGGATGGGATTGGGATTGGTGGGCAAGAGACTTGGAGATGGGGTGGGGTGAGACTGAGAAAAGAGGCGAGGGTGGATTGAGTGGGGGTAGGGTTAGAAGTGAGGATGGGGGTAGAGTTGACAGTGGGAGTAACAATGAGTAGGTAATAGAATTGGGGTAGGAATGGGGTAGGGTTGGAGTTTTAGAAATAGACATGAAGTTATAGTCGGGGTGGGATTAGGGTGGGAGTAGAGTTGAGAGTGAGAGTGAGGAGGAGTAGGAGGCGAGAGTGGGGTTGGGGATAGTGATTTATTTTGGGTTGGAGATGGGCAGGGAGTTGGGGGTGGGGGTAGGGTGGACCCACTCACTGGAGGCGAAAAACATGATGCCCGCGGAGAAGGGGCGGGAGAGGCGGGTGAAGGTGGGCTGCTGAGCGAAGGCTAGGATGCCCAAGATGATGCCAGAGGTAGCGCACAGAGCGGACAGGATCATGAAGGCCCGAGTGGCATTCCAGTATGCTGTGGGAGCACATCTTGGTCACCCCCATGCCTACCTTGCTCTCAGTGGTGAATGATGCTATCTCTGGGGTGAGAATGCTTGCCCCCCTCCACATCCATGACCTACCTTCTCCCTCACCTCCTTACAAATGCCCTCCACTTTGCCTGGCAAACTCGTACTCATCCTCCAAAGCCCACTCCCAAGTCCCCTCTGCTAGGAAGCATTCCGTCATCCCTCAGGCATCATCTTCATCCCCTCCTCTGGGATGTGACTCTCTTTGTCTGTCTTCCCCTCCAACCTGGTGGCTTGGCTGCTAACCAAAAGGTTGGCAGTTCAAACCCACCCAGAAGCTCCATGGGAGAAAGACCTGGCAATCTGCTACCATAAAGATTATAGCCTAGGAATCCTTATAAGACAGTTCTATTCTGTCACATGGAGTTGCTACGAGTCTGAAATCAGCTTGACAGCAACTAACAACAACCCTTCAACCTGAAGACAGGGACTAGGTTGATTCTGTGTCACTAACACTCCCAGCACAAATTTGGTTTATACACAGACCTTGAGAAATGTTTATGGTTAAATGGATGAATGAATTAGTCAGTGTAGATTCTCCACATCCTCTTGCCAATCACTATCCTCTCTCACATTGCCCACTTTCATTTTCTTCGTACCACTTACCTAGAGCTGAAAATGTCCTATTTATTCAGTTTTAACCTGCTTATAATGCCTGTCTCTCCCCACTAGCCTCTTAGCTCTGTGAGGACAAGAGCCTTGTCTGTCTCATTCACTGCTGTATCCTCAGCACCTGTTGCCTGGCACATAATACGTGCTCAATAAGCAAATGTTGAATGAATGACTGTTGAGCACAGGGGACCTTTCTTCTCTTCTGCTTAGTTCAGAGCTGGCCCCTCAGGTGTCCTGGGAACAAAAACCCTCATCTCATCTTCCATTTAGGGACTACCAACTATGTGCCCTGGAGCCCTGGTGGCACAGTGGTTAAGAGCTTGGCTTATAACCAAAAGGTTTGCAGTTCGAATCCACCAGCTGCTCCTTGGAAACCTTATGGGGCAGTTCTATTCTGTCCTATAGGGTTGCTATGAGCTGGAATCGACTTGACAGCATCAGTTTTTTTGTTTTAATGTATGTGCCATGAATGATCCTATTTATTCCTTCCAAGAGCCCAACAATGTAAGTACTATTTTTATGCCTATTTTTCAGGTGCGGAAACTGAGGCTCAAAGAGGTGAAATGACTTGCCCAAGGTCCCGTAATAAACAGTAGGACTGGGGGGTTGAAACCCAAGTTCCAAAGACCATGTTCTTAACCACCTGGCTATCCTGTCTCTTGATGCACCCAGGATGACTGTGTAACTCACACAGAACTTGGACCCTGCCTTGGAAAAATAAAAAGTTTTAGATCTTTTCAAAATGCAGCCTTTTACTCGTGTGAGCGTAAGTGAGCGAAATTTCCTGGCTATTTCTCCATGGATGTCTCTGGACGTTTGAAAGTCTGGAGAACTTATTGGGCATGCAATAGCCTATTTCATTCCTACAGTTGTGCTAATGCAAGAGTGGAAACCTCAAATGCCTATGAGGCCTAGTTGCAGCTGCAAATAAGGGAAGAAGACCTGGAAGAGGGGAGGGAGACAGCAGGCTGAGGTGAGGGCTGCGGGAAACTGGACATGTATGTCCCACGTGCCAGCAATGGATGTATTATTACCTCTTAGCTCCGTCTTTATAGAATACCTTCCCTGTTTAAATGACTTTGTTGTTTCTGTCTCTTTAATAACTGAAACCCAATTTGAAGGGGGCAACCACTGCTCATATCCAGCTAATTATTGTCAGCAAGGAAGGTGGTCATGGGGGGTGTTATGGGTTGAATCGTGTCCCCCCAAAAGATATATTGAAGTCCTAACCCTTGTACCTGTGAATGTGATCTTGTTTAGGAAAACAGGATTTTTCTTGGTTAAAGCACTCCTCTGCTAACTGAGAGGTCAGCAGTTTAAACCCACCAGCCACTCCACAGCCTTGGGAAACCCAATGGGGCAATTCTCTGTTCTGTTCTATAGAGTCAGTATGAGTTTTACTCTGTCTTATAGGGTCACTTATAGGGTCACTATGAGTCATAATCAACAGCAACGGGGTTTTTTTTTTTTTTTTTTTTTTTGAATATGTTATCCATTAAGTTAACGAGGTCATACCAGAGTAGGGTGCTTCCTAATCCCTTCTGAGTGGTATCTTATAAAAGGGAAGAACAGACACAGAAACACACACAGTGGAAAGACACCTTGTGAAGATACATTTACAAGTCAAGAACACCTGGGGCTACCAGAAGCTGGAGGAGGCAAGGAAGGATCTTCCCCTAGAGTGGATGGAGAGAAAACATGGTCCTCTCAATGCCTTGAATTAGAACTTTCAGCCTCCAGACTGTGCGAAAATAAATTCTTGTTGTTTAAAGCCACCCACTTTTTTGTATTTTGTTATGGCAGTCCTAGAAAAC